TCCAGATTTCCAGAAATGATCTGCATTTATTTGAGGTATTGGCAGTAAGTCAATCGAATTACAGTTTTCGGCATTGTCTGAGATTATTTGCCAAATAAAATCACTGCCATTACGTCAAAATTGTGAGGCCCTAGAGGAAGCCATCTACTGAATTCTTGAGAAACACTTTTTGCATCTCCCTCATGGCTGGTAACTGGTTGGTAAGATGAGAAGGTGCAAGGTTTGGAGAGTACTGAGACTGTTCAACTCCCTTCAAGTGGTCTCCTTCATACTCGGATGGCTTACCGATATGGGAGCACTTTTAAGTACCGGACAAAGCATCTTCATCATGAACATCGTAAAGATTAGACCTGAAAAGGATTTGAATACACCGCATTTGTTCATGCGTGAATATAAGCGTTGGAAAAAACCACGGATTATGTAACAACAGTGGGCAGAATGGTAAACGAGTTAAAAGAGGTTAATTTGAGCGAACTGCAGAGGAACAAGCCAACCAAAATTTTACGGTCTTATTATACACATTTTTTTTGTTTTTCTCAGGGAAAACATTTTAGAAACGTCTTTATAAGCTAGAACCTTTGTAGTATAAGCCACATTACCACATATAGCCCGATTACCACATATCGGCGAACCTTCACGCCATAGAAAAAGATAATGATTGTTTTCCCGAGAAAGAAAGCATCGCAAGTTCTGATTCTACACTTTAAAATTGAAACTACTAAACCACTAACATATTTTCATAGCCAATGCACGCGAGCGTGCGAGTATAAAACTGCTTAAATTCTTCCAAATTGTCTCGATTCTTGAAGAAAGCGCTTCACCTTTCGTTTCCAACACAAGTTATCCTAAACAACTCACATCCTAGTACGACCTTGTATTAGATTAGCACAGTATCGCGAACATTTACAAAGCTGATGCGCGATGAAGGGTATTTTAAAATGAAGTGACCCTGAAAAAAGTATAAAATCAACAGCTGGGCACCATTCCACAGCGCAATGACTCACGATGAGAAGCACTGGGAAGCAGAGGCTCACTCCCTCAAGAGAATCGCCTTCCTTGGAGTGGCCTTCTCTACCACGGCTACACTGATCTGCGTCATATCTGTGCCTCTGCTGTACAACTACATGCAGCATATGCACTCGCTCATGCAGAACGAAGTCGACTTCTGCAAATCCCGCTCAGGAAACATCTGGAGGGAAGTCATCCGCACTCAGGCAAGTTTGACCTATGGATGACCATTATGAAAACTCATTTGATACTCCTCATTTTAGGTTCTCACAAAAACTTCCACTAGGAGCCGCCGTCAGGCTGGCGGCGGATGCTGCGGCTGTGGTGTTTCCGCAAGAGGACCACCAGGACCTCCAGGACAAGCAGGGCAACCTGGCAGAGATGGAGGACCTGGACAACCCGG